ATGTTGCATTACAATATACACTCAACAATGGCAACAATTTAGCTAATAAGAATATCGTGAACCCCATTGCTGTAACTGAGTTAGTATTACAATTGAAGCAAAGCTTACTATTAGCAGCTTGAGGTCCTTCTAAAAAGTGATATGCAAAAATTATATGATCATCATCAGATTTATAGAAATGCTAGCATAATGTTGACCACCAATAGTAAATTTGTTTGGTAGTTATAAGAGATATATCAAATATTTTATTGAGATGAGATCATAACTGAACAGAATCCAGATGAAGATTTTCCATGATCTCATACTTGGAGTTGTGATATCGATAGGTTTTTCATGTTGAATATCATGATGAAACTTCATTGTTGCCTTTTTATCTGGAATATCAACATGAATAGATAACTTGCCGTGACAATCAAAATGAATTATTCTAGGCTGGTTTAAGTCTTTAGTCTTGTGTTTAAGTTCACAACACTGTGAACATGCAAAATAAAATAAGCCAACTCCACAATATCGCAATAACATTTTAGGTCCGGTTGTAAATACCTAATTGTAACCATCAAAACCTTCAATCTCATCTACTATTAATTTTGCTAAATTTTTTTGCATCACTTTGTGCAATATCTAACATATCGTCATCGAGCTCAATGCGAAGATTGAATAATAGTTTATTATCTTGTTCAATATTGGTAACCTTAGTGGAAGCATAATTAATGATTTTAGAAAAATGAATGTCCTTATAAACTGTTGTTACTTCTTTTGAATGGTAGTTATTACTAGAAGCTAGCTTTGCTGCCTTTTTTGTTAGACAATTAAAACAAGTTTTAAAAACTTTTTCTTTATAGAGAAATGCTTTCTCAGGTAAGTTATTGCATTTGCAAGAGGTACAATCACTCATATTTTTTTTAAAAAAAATTGGTTAGTAGTCATTTACTCTATATGTGTATATATATGTTTTTTTTTTTGCTTCGGACTAATAAAATTTTTGAAATTATCTATCATAACCTATACGTTGATGTTAGTCATGCTAGAGTTATTATCGCAAGGATAACCAGATTTTGTGGCTGATACGATTTTGATAGTGAATTAGATTTACATGTGAATATATGCGTTAGGGAAAAGTTATGCATGAAAATGAGATAGTTATGCATAAAATGAGATGATAATGAGGTATTAGTTATGCATGTAAATGTGCAGAAATGATAAATACGCATGGGAAAAAAGAAAATAGAAAATACATGTGGGAAAAGTTACGAGGATTATAAATAAGTAAATAGAAAATAGTAAATCGGCAGTGCTTTCTTTCTTCGCTCATTTGTTCTCTTTATTACCCGATTACGATCTGGCGTCTTTGTGTTTGTCATAACTTGTGGAAAAATTTATTGCATATTTCAAAAAAAAAAAAAAAAAGAGAATTATAAAAAATAAAAATAATTAACGATGTCGATACAAACCTCTCAAAAAACGACCTAGAAGAAATCTGCCGTGGCCTTGGTGTTTCTACTAAGGGAACAAAAGCTAAACTAATTCAGAGGATTAGGGCTGAACAGTCAGAAAAAATAAGAAAGGTACCTTGTGAAGATGGTGACGAGAACGAGACAATAGGTTCTGAAAACCTAAATAAAGACGATGAAATATGCAAACATGACTCTCAGATGCAAACATTGAGAGAGCTCGCGCAGAAATCAAGAGAAAAGCAAAGATGGCACCACCAAAAACCACCGCACAAAATATAGGAGATCTAAATGGTCAACAGCAAGCAAATAGAGAAATGTCGGAGAATAGAAAGAAATCAAGAAAATGGAACTACCAAGATAGTAGTGAAAATGAGAGTCCAGAAACCTTAAAACGCAAAATATTGGCAGAATTCAAAAAGTTGGAAAATGCGATCCTAGGCTTCAATGACAGATTAAACTCAGTAACGACCCAAATACAGGATACCTGCCAAGGAATAGAAATAAATGATACCTGGCCCAACTATAAATTTGGAAGATTCTGTGATCAGCATGAATATGACCTATTACATCAAATAGGAAGGGAGCTCGATTTTGCGGTAGACTCTAGAAGCGTTTATGAAGCTGTAAACCATATAGAAAATGCTTGAGAAAAAGTGGCAAGTAGAATGTTTACATTATGAGTAGCTGAGGGATATGGTTGGGAAATCGCATTATCATTATCCGATACACAAGACGAATGGCTAAAAGAAAAGGACGACTTAATCGAAAAGCAAAAACTCTGACAGAGGTAAAGAAGAACAAGTGCCAGAAAGTCCAGAATTTTGGGAAAAGTAATTATCAAAAGGGATATGATTATCAAAAACGATACAACTACCAAGAACCCTACAGAAACAGAAATTCAAGTCTTAGTGGGTTCTTTCGCTTCTACAACCAACTACAAAACTGTTCCTCAGCCTCCGCGGACAAGTACTACATCTGTGGAGGAGTTGGCCACTTCGCAAACACCTGCCCATCTGACCCAAATGGAAAAACCTTCAATTTTTAGTCAAGGGGATACTTAGTGTACAAGAACAGATTTGACAAATCGCAAGAAAATACAAAAAATGACTGACTACGCTCGGGCCCAGCAGCAAATTCCAGTAGTAGGCTGCTTGCATATGAAGAAACATGTGAAATACTGGGAAAGAAAGATCCAAGCTTCAAGACTTGTTATAAACTGGCTCAGGAATAGAATTCCGTTATTTCCACGAAGGCTACTACAATTAGCAATGTGTCTGGATCTACCTTAATACTCTTTGACCGAGGACCAGCGTGCTTGGTTGGACCTGGAAATAGAAAGACTTTTGAAAACAAATGCAATTATTCTAGTTGCTCAATCAGAAAGAAGACCTGATTACCTATTAGAAGCAAGCCTGATATTTTTGACCCCGAAACCAGGTCCCAAAAAATGGTATTTAATAATAGATCTCAGATGGCTAAATGCAACATTGCCAGAGAAATCATTCAAATTCGAGGGGTTCGAGACCTTCCTGTGCATGATAGGGCAAAATTGGTGGGTAATCATCTTGGACTTAAAAGATAGGTACCATCATATAATGATAGATAAAAAGCACAAAGATTGTTAGGATTCAAAATTGGGAACATTTGGTATCATTATCGAGTTCTGCCTTTCAGGCTAAGCCAAGCTGTATAGTATTTTTCAAAGTCATGAGAGCATTAATAGGTCACTGGAGGTCGTGCGGCATTATTTGTGGAAACCATGTTGATGACATTTGGGTAGCACACCCTTGTC